TGGGTTTTTTTTTGAAGTCCTAACCCCCCCCCTCCCCCAACGTCTCTTTAACTAAATGAAAACAGACTTTAAGGAATTCAGGATTATGATAGTAAAAACACAGAATTATCGCCTTTCATCTTCTACCTTCACCCATCTTCTCTTTTTTATTAATTTATTTTCCAACCATTCAGGCATTCAGCAGTGAACTTTGTAAAAAGTTTCTTATGAAACTGCAGTACAAGTACATCCTAGTGCTCCAGGCAGCACATGTGACATGTTGCTTTCAAAGGGTGGGATCTGAGAGGCAGATTATGAGTCTGAGTTACAATTTCATCACCAGTTTGTTCTTTAGGCAGTGCACAGTTTAGCCCTAAATAATATTATTATTAATTACTGTCCGAACATTTTCATTTTATGGAGTGTAACAGGAAGGGGTATAAGAGGATTTCTAAATAGATCTTGGTACATTGTCACAGGTTCTAATGTGCTGTAATCCATCTGCCACTTTTTACATTCTAAATTCAAACTGCATTCAAACGATCACACGCAAAATAGCTTTTATAATTGCACATATGTTTTACTGTGGCAAAGCTATAGTATTAAAGGTGACCTGCAAAGGAAACAGAATGGAGTTTTTGCTGTTTTTCTTAGCACAGAAAGCCTGAAAAGGTTATCTAAAAACATATTTTTTTCCTGCCTTGTTATTTTTACATTAAAAACTAAGGCCCCTATCTTAAAGCTTTCAGAGTAGCAGCCGTGTTAGTCTGTATCCGCAAAAAGAAGAACAGGAGGACTTGTGGCACCTTAGAGACTAACAAATTTATTAGAGCATAAGCTTTCGTGGACTACAGCCCACTTCTTCGGATGCATCTTAAAGCTGTATTCATAGAGCACACAAATGCAGTTCTAAAACTGGAGCTTAAGTTCTTATCTACACTGATTTTTTTCTTGGAAGACTTTATGGAGATTTGACAGGACTATGATTTCAGAGGTGCCATGCAATGAAACCATTAAGTCAATGGAGAGGCAGTGCAGTCTAGTGGACGAAGCACTGAATTGGTATTCAAGATACAGGTCTGTCTCATCTTACGCGGGGGTTCCGTTCCGCGGTTAGCACATAAAGCGAAAACCACATATAACCAAAACCCCATTGAGTTCAATGGCGAGCGAAATCCCCCGCACTACAGGTATAGTATTAAAACTGTTGTTTTTCTCTTTTTTGTTTGTTTGTTTTGTTTTTGCAGACTGCGTAAAGTTGAAATCGCGCATGTTAAATGTGCGTAAGATGCGACAGACCTGTACCTGGGATCTAGACCTAGCTCTGCCTCTGATATGCTGTGCAACTTCGGGCAAATCACTTCCCCTCCTGTCCTTTGTCAGTTTTGCCTACTTAGATTATAAGCACCTCAGGGTAGGGACCATTTCTTATGACTATGTACAGTACTGTACCCAGCAAAATTAAGCCTCCATCTCAGTTGAGATCTTTAGGCACTACTGAAATACACATAAATAAAATAAATAATTATTACAGTGGGAAGTGATCTTTATTAGACTGTAAAACTGTTTTGTTTTTTATTAATACCTATTCAACTCAAACAGTTGGGAGAACGATGGCTTTGTTAAAGTTTTAACGCTCTTGTATTTCAGTGACGGTCTCAAAAAACTCCCAGTTCTCATCTGAGCTCCCAACATTTCCATACATTTTATATATTTAAATAACAAAGAAGCAAACTTTTCTTTTTGGAAATATACACACACGCTTTTCAGGCCTTCTTTATCCACCATCAAGAAACAAACAGGGCAGAAACCCAATAGCTTGTTCTTTTACAGGTCACCTGTTTGCTTTATGCTCTTGGGTATTGTAATGCAGAATTTGTTTTTCCATTGCTCCGTGCATACTCTCTTGTCTGAGGAAGAGTAGCCTAGCCACTTCTGAAGCAATCAACTTGTTACAGCTTAGGCTACACCACGTAAACATTGAGCAAGTTTCATAGCGGAGAGCCCAGTCCTGGCAGGTGCTCAGCATGCTCAGCCAGCATGGACTTCAATGGGAGTGGAAGATTCTCAGCACCTTAGTTACTAGGCCTCCAGCATGCTCCACATAAATGAATGAAGTAATACTGTATAAAGAACAGGAGTACTTGTGGCACCTTAGAGACTAACAAATTTATTTGAGCATAAGCTTTCGTGGGCTACAGCCTACTTCATCAGATGTATGTAGTGGAAAATACAGTAGGAAGATATATATACACCTTCCTACTGTATTTTATATATCTTCCTACTGTATTTTCCACTACATGCATCTGATGAAGTAGGCTGTAGCCCACGAAAGCTTATGCTCAAACAAATTGGTTAGTCTCTAAGGTGCCACAAGGACTCCTGTTCTTTTTGCAGATACAGACTAACACCGCTGCTACTCTGAAACCTGTAACACTGTATGTGTACATCACCCTCTCCTCTTCAGTCTGTGGGGTCACTGTATTTGTGCTAGTAAAGAGCTGTTGATAGAAATTCATCCCTCTCTGTACTAATGCTGAGGAATCAGGATTGGTGTAGGGAATGCTGCAAAGGTGAGGACTCAGATGGAGTTCACACCCCACCGCCCCCTCAGGTGGTAGGGCTGCAGCAAAACCTCCAGGCTTCTATGCCAGCCTATAAACCCCTCTCTGTGTCCTCTGCATGGTTTTGGAGTAACTAGATTCAAGAAAGTGTAGGTGCAGAACAGGGCTCCTGGCAGACTCCTTCTCCCTAATGACTCCTTCTGCTGCAGTCTACTTGAAACAGCGTTGAGTCCCCTCTGGCATATGGGGGAGGGACAGTCCCATGCTCCATGCAGGGTTCTTTCACTTGGCTGCATTTCATTTACATAGCCACACATTTATCCTGCAATATTTTACCTTTGAATTGGTGTAAGTATTACTGAGGCGGACACTAACTCCATGCAAATGACTGGTCAGGAAGGCGTCTCCCAAGGACGTCTTCCAGAGGAAGATTTCAGCAGCCACATTATTTGTTTTGTTTAAAATGATTTCGGTCTTGATAGTGTCTCTGTACCAAAGCGGCACACGTGCTAAGCATGCACAGCACTGCCTATTGTGAGACACACAGAAAGGAATAGATTTAATTGATTTTGTTGTTTGAAATATCTTGTAGCTGCAGGGAGAATCCTAGCCAGCAAGCTGAAATACAACCAAGCTTTTAGAGGACATTTTGGGGCCTAATGTTCCTGCATTGTCTTTTTAGGATTCAGCCTTAACTTTGTATTTCTAGGCCTGTTTGGCCTAGCTCAGGCATGGGCATGTTTGTTATTATTACTAGAGCTGGGCGAATACCACACAGCATTTTCCATGAATATACTCTTGAATGAAAAGTGTGTTAATTTTCCCTGAATATTCTAGTGAGCGAGTTTATAGACAGTATCCTCAAAGAGAAACTTTCTCCTTAAATATTATCTCTGATCCTTTGGTCATGTGCCTACCCAGGCTGAGAAAGTCCAGACTCTTTCCCCCCAGCCATGGATTCTGTAGAGAGTTCATCATTCTTGTGAGTTGGTTGTTGGGAGATGGTCAAAGCTGATGGTCCTAGATTGCGCTGTGTCAGCGATCCTGAGGCAATCTTTCAGTCAAGCCTCTACTACAAAATAGATGCTGTAATGCACAATGGAAGTTGCAATGCAAGATGAAGGTCACCCTCCAAAATGAAAGTTACAGTCAAAATGTCGTTCACAAAACAATGGAGCTCACAACATGGCACTACATCCAGTGTCACAATCACAGTACATCTAGGAAGACCAGATTACAGAGAGAAAAAGGTAGGAAGGGCTGCCTATCTGGTGGATGCTGACCAAACCTGGACTCACAGGAGAGGTGAGATCATAGGGGTGTGTTGAGGACTGGGTTCTTTTTCAAAGATCTGTAGCTCTCTAGTGCTGTTTAAGAGTAAAGTGACTATTATTGCTAAGCCTTGCTGTCCTGCCACGTTGTCCCTAAAGGAGTTAATTAAAAAGTTCAGAGTGCCAACAACACTCATGCATTTTTTTAAAGGAAGGTATACAGCTGCAGAAGTTGAATGTGCTGGTATCCACAATTATACAGGGAAGTGTCCTATTTGCCATGGGTCAGTAGATTTTTCAATCTCTGCTCAGGTATATATGCAGCTGTGATGTATTCTATACATATGTGAAAGACTGACATCCTTCTAGATAAAGTACAGCCCAGTGTGGTTTTAGCTCAATTTGTCTTTGTTTCTTGCATGTCAGGTGTAGTACATTTGCTAAAGCCCCATGCACTTCCAACTTGTTTGGAGACTGTCTAATCCAGTGGTTCTCAGTAAAGCAAACGCATAACCCCAGGGGTATGCAGAGGTCTTCCAGGGGGTATATCAACTCATCTAGATGTTTGCCTAGTTTTACAACAGGCTACATAAAAAGCAGTAGCAAAGTCGGTACAAATTAAAATTTTATATAGACAATGACTTGGTTATACGGCTCTATATACTATACACTGAAATGTAAGTACAATATTTATATTCCAATTGATTTATTTTATAATTATATGAAAACAAAGAAAATAAGCAATTTTTCAGCAATAGTATACTGTGACACTTTTGTATTTTTATGCCTGATTTTGTAAGCAAGTAGTTTTTAAGTGAGGTGAAACTTGGGGGTATGCAAGACAAATAGGACTCCTGAAAGGGGTACAGTAGTCTGTAAACATTGAGAGCCACTGGTCTAATCAACGGATCTGTTCCCTCTCTTGTATTCCTTGCCTTGATCTACACTTGCTACAGTAGATATATTGAAGCCTGATGGCTATAATTTACCTCATAATTTTTTGGTGGGGAGGTGGGGAAGGCTACACTGACTGAACATACATTCGGTCAGCATAGCTATGATCCTAAAATAGAATTAAATTATTATGCTGCTCCTACACTCTACACCCTTAACCCATTCTAAAACAAATCTTTTGCTCTGATCCTTTTTAGATTAACTACTGAACTATATGAGGAAATATGGGGCAAATGAGATGATCTGATACAGAACCTCCCCCCCCCATATAATTGTTACAGAAACAATATATGCCTACTGTAATTCATAACCTATAATGCCTCAACTCTTCTGTATTCTTTTACCATTTACGGTTGTTACCAGCTCTTAATATGTATGTAAGAAAATAAGAGTCCACCTGGCTGTGGGAGGTCTGGTTTTCTAGGAGGGATAGCTCAGTGGTTTGAGCATTGGCCTGCTAAACCCAGGGTTGTGAGTTCAATCATTGAGGGGGCCACTTAGGGATCTGGGGAAAAATCAATACTTGGTCCTGCTAGTGAAGGCAGGGGGCTGGACTCAATGACCTTTCGGGGTCCCTTCCAATTCTATGAGATAAATAAATAAATGTAGATATACCTATCAGGGCCAATGGGAGAGTAAAGCAAGAACACAAACTTAGCAAAGGACTTCCTAACTACACACATTTTACTCTTAAAAAAGCACAGTAGAATTACAGATCTATGAATTCAACCTCCCCTAGTCTGATCTCACTCTGTCTGCAAGTCCTGGTTCTGGCCAGCATCTTTAAGCAAGGGAGAGTCTCTCCTGTCCTCACTCTCTTCAGCAAGTTCTGCTTACAAGTGGTGACAGAAATTTAGTCCCTTCCTTAGAAACCTCATGGAACCTTTCTTTTAAAACCATCTCCCTCCCATTCTGTCCAGGAGTTCCTCGCTCCAGCCCTATCTCTCCTCCCCCGCTGCTTCTGTGTCTTTTGTCCCAAGGAACTGGGTTAGTCACTGAGAGCCATTCAAAGTCAATGGCCTTACTAGTAGAGAACTCATTGTTCCAACAGGGAAGAATCAGTCAATGAAATGAGAGAGCTAGCAAGGGCCATTATTAGTCCTCTTTGAGGTGCCCCACACCTTATCACCAATACACAGTCTCTAGAACAGACTGACTAAAAGGATTAGACTGGTTTTCAGCACAGACTGCATATCTGAGTCCAACATGGACATTGCAACACACAGTGAAGACTGCAGTAAAGGTTACAATCACAAAATGGTGTTCACAAGGCAAAACGGAATCTGCAATTGAATACAGACATATCTCCAAAATGGTCACACTATCAACTATTATATTTATCTTTAATAAAGCGTTTAGTCACTAAAATACATTTTGTTCTTTTTTATACAGATTTGTACAAATATTTCTATGGATTCATCTTTGGTTAAAAAGAAAAAATCTATTTTTTCAAACTACATTCCAGTGTCGGAACATTTCACTTTACCTGCTTTACTTTAATGCTATCATGAAAGGAACCTCTTTGAAGTTTTCTTATTAGAAAAGCTTTAAAAATTAAGCAGTCTGAATTATTTTTCTATGAACCATATAATCTTCTTAAGCAGTAAGAAGTTAACTTAAACTCAAATCATTTTACTGAAAAAACTGATAAAGAGAGCCGACCAGATTCACGTATTGCTGTCCTACATTCTCTCTAAATGTAACATCTAACCCTGGATTCTTAGAATTTTTCATGTTAAAGTTTATAGCCAATTGAGTTTGGCTTTTATATCAGAAAGTTTGTCATGTAAATGTCATTCTCTAGCTGCAACAAACCCAGTAATGAATACGATCCCCAAGAAAACATACATTTCAGCAACAAATCCAAGTTCAACCGTGGTACTTAAAAACACAATCACATTTGACTCATTGTGTAAGAAAACTGTATCTTGGAGATGCTGTATGTTCAAAACCAAAGAGACCAGCACAGGTTCAATTGTTCTCAATATATTCTGGCTTCTGCATTGTGAAAAATATCAATTGTTAAGGATTTTGTGTTATTGTCAAAGATACATGGTCGATTACTTTCTATAATTAATTGGGTGTGGGGTTATTTGTTTGTTTGTTTTTCAGTACAGTTATCAATTGTTTAGCAGAAATGGGGTAAAGAGTCAACGCTGGGGTTTCAATTCCAGGCTAGTTTAGGACCAATATTCCCATTTGGCTTCAATGGTTATAGCACCAAAACTGCATGAAGTCTTCTATTGAGATATCACTTCCATCCAAACAAGAAAGAGAAAATAGTCCCTTTCTGGTTTTGAATCCAACCCAGACCCAAATCTGGGGAGGCAGGTTCTGATCCAGGAATTTAAATACAATCTCCCTTGAAATGTGCAGAGATTCCATATTAAGGTGCCATTTTAGGCCTCTCTCCGTTGTTTAGTTTAACCCATTTTCCATTGACAAACTGCAGTCCCCACCCCCATTTCCTGTAGACCACAAACCAACATGGCTTTTACTTGTTTGTTTCTTTATTTGATTTCTACTAACCTGATTTATGGTGCCATGAATGTTGACTCCATGGCTCTCGGAATAGTGGCTGTTAGTTAACTTGTGCTCCCTCTACTGTCTGACTTGCTTTGCAAAAGCATAGCAAATACAGTGAAGAACTTTTTAAATTTCTTGATGACAAAGAAATTTTATTTTTTATTTTAGCACAAAAGGTTATTTGCCTGCAGATTTTAATGATTGCAACAAGGTCCTAAATTAGAATCTTCTTAAGATTCGAAAGTATGTATCCCTCTTTTAAGGCCTGCAAAAACAACATGCATACAACTCCGACTGAAGTCCGTACTTTCAGAACGTTTGTCTTCCTTTTCTGACAACACTGTGAGGAACAAAGGGATAACGGTCCTGCTCCAGCTGAACTCAGTGAACAGAATTGGGCAGTATGTTAGCTAATAACTATGGACCAGATTTTCAGAAGTGCTGAGCAGCCAGGACTCCAGTTAAAGTCAGTGTAAGCTGCAAATACTCAGCCCGTGTGCACATCACGTCCTTTTATCTTGATTATTACAAAGATTAGATCAAATCCTTCAAAAGAGAGCAAAGCCTGAGTAAAAGGGCTGCTGTGGGTTCCGAGGTTCAGCATGCTGGTGTGTGCTATGCTTGAACCCACTACTTCTGTTTGACAAGCCTACGCTCCCCTAATTCCCTTTGGAACACCTGCCTGCAAACTGCACATCAACAGTGCACATGCAAGGATGTGGAAACCCTTCTGTGATTCCTTCACCTTTGAAGCAGCAACACAGACTTTCCCACTGCTTATGGGAACAGATGTGCCCTAGTCAAACTCTGAATCTAGCTGAACAGTCCTTGGATGCAAGTTTTGACTGGAGACGCTCTCTCTCTCTCTCTCTCTCTCTTTTAGAGCCTTTTGTGGCCACATTACCCAGCTTGCAGAGTGACTTCTGTAATTCATAGAAATATTTGCAAAAATTTATATCCAAGTCATTTTTATCCCTTCCTCCTGAAGTAATATTTATTAACTAGAACCAAACAAATTGGAGCAATTTCAATTTTAACTCTGAGGCTAGGCAAGAGCTTACAGATCCTACTGCACTATTTACTGTATTTCCCTCTATTTAATATTTTGCAAGCAGAATAGGTTAGAACAGGGGATCTCAACCTTTTCCTTTCTGAGCCCCTCTTCCCCCCATGCTATAAAATATCTGTGCCACAACAACTAGTTTTCTGCATGTAAAAGCCAGGACCAGCATTAGGGGGTAGCAAGCAGGGCATTTGCCTGGGGCCCCATGCCACAGGGGACCCCAGGAAGCTAAGTTGCTCAGGCATCAACTTCAGTCGCAGGTGGAAGGGCTCAGGGTCCCAGGCTTCAGCCCCATGTGGTGGAACTTCAGCTTTCTGCCTTGGGCCCCAGCAAGTCTAACACTGGCCCTGCCTGGTGGACCCCCTGAAACCTGTATGCGGCCCCAGAGGGGGCCCACCCCTGGTTGAGAACCCACTGGGTTAGAACAGTTGCAAAGAGCTATTCCATTTAAATCATTTGTCCAATTAGAAGGTTAGGCTGTACATGGAGATGTACGAAATATTTTGGGCCTGTGCTGCACTTGTAAATAGGTGATAAACCCATCTTTCCCGTAAGTGATTCAGCAGCAATAAAGTACTTACTGTTATTTAATGATGCAATGGTTTAAAGACTTGACTACTGTACAGTGTGTAATCTGACTCAACAACAGACAATACATTGGGCTGCAAGGCTATTCAGAGAAAAGAATAATAGATTTAATCTCTGTGTTTAAAAAAATAAAAGGAAATATTCTGTTTTCCTTTTCTAAGAGTAACCTGGAAGAAGAAAATGAATAAAGTAGAAGAGGAGGTTTATTCTAGCTTTAGAGATGACAATTTGGGTCAGTTTCTTTGATAAACAACAACATTATTCCAATAAGTAGTTAAATAGTTATTCCTCTTGGCAATTAGGGATACATTGGAATGGTTCACATCAGACTATATTTGAAATGCACATGAAAATAAATTCTAGTAAAAATAAGCCTTTAAGTTGTTGTTTACATTGGCAAGTAACCAGCTGGACTATAAAAGCCAATGGTATGACTGACTACCTTACTTATTTTGCAACTGTTACACTAAATAGGTGTTTTAGAGACTCAATATCCTCACAAGAGATACAGACTTTCTTAAAACAAAGAGAATCAGACTTTTGGGATCGATTTCCTGTTTATTATTGTACTTAATTATACTTTAAGGATGAAATTTTCCCTTCCTCAAACAAAGCACAAAAAGTGATTGCCATGCTGTGGCAAGGTGGCTGTGATTTCCACTGAAAAGCCCATTGTTTTTTGTTTTAATGCAGTGAAAATACTCAGTGAAAAAATCCTCACAAAGCCTTTATGAAATGAAACTCAAAACACCTAGTATGTGATTTGCTTTGTAAGCATAGTTATTCCTCAGACACACAAGAGCATACACCTATTGTCCAGAATGAAAAACTTGCAATTCTGTAAGTCAAACACAGTAACCAAATTCCAGCTCATTAATTAGTTAGGCCTGCAATTCTTATGTATCTGCTTATAGATACTCATGCACTTTAACCAGCTTATTTGTTTTTTCAGCACCTAACTTCTTATGAAGTTAAATCAAATCAGTCCTAATGTGCTAAAAGCCCAGTGCACTGGTGCTGAGCTGGCCAGACAGGACCACACATTTTGAGATGAGCATGAATCCTGTCTATACATTCTTGACAATATTTACATTTTACTTCAGAAGAAATATATTTGTTTCCTACCACCTCTTTCAACTTTATGCATGTATAGTTTTCATTATAGAGAGACTTCAGTGCAAATGAGAATCAGGCCCATAGAGTCAGATACATTTTTACACGGATGTTTGGTAATTGCAAAACATTCAACTCCAGTTTGTAGCACTGATCAGCAGCTTTCATGTCTACTACAGTTAGAATGAAAAATACCAAGCAAATCCAACACTACGAAGACTTAAAAGTTAAGATGAGCAAGACAGATTTCTATAGAACATTGTATGGGATACCCTTCTCACCTTCCAGAAATTTCTAGATTCCAGAAAACTAAGCTGCAAACACTAGTTCACAACTTCACTCCTTTCTCTTCAACACTCTCTGACACTTCATTCCACTCACTAGCCACATGCCTCTTTAATCACAGATGGAAATGTGCTATTACTTTCTCTACACTTCTGGGCAACTTTATAACATTCTTATTGTTTCTAAATAATAAGGACATTAGAATCTAATGGTGTGTGTGTGTGTGTGTGTATATATATATATATATATATATATAACACCCTTTTAAATATAGGATGCATTCATGTAAAACTTTTGCAGTGACAAACATTTTTAACAAAATTAAAAAAAAACACACCTTATTTTAGGCCTCTATTTTCAAAAATTACACATGTTCAATTATAGGCTCCAAAATGCATGCCTAATTTGTCATACAATTGCCACAATAATGCATGCAGTGATGGTAACAATACATGCAAGTGAGACAGTCCTGAAAAGTGGGCCCTTTATGGCTGGCATTACAACTGAATTGTAGATTTCAGACTATAAGACTGGAGGTCACATTTACAAGAGCTGAACATTTTTAATACAAGTGAAGAAAGGTATCATATGACAAAGAGGGCACATTACCAGAAAGCAGGCAGAGGCATGAACAGTAAATTCCTGTAGATTCCATACAGCTACAGTGAAATACAGGAAAGGAATTCCCTAACACACATTGAGAACAGTGGCATAAATAAATATAGTCACAAATATATGATTGGGCTTAAATAATTTTAAATACTTCCTAGCAAATAAATTCTGGTAATAAAATTACAGTCTTCAAAAAATTCTAAATGGGCTATTATTGATAAATCGGGACTTTCTCATGATTGACCGGTGCTCCCAGAAAGTTGATGTAGGTGTGAGAGGTTTGCTGAATTCAATGGAGCAGTCATTGCTTTGCTGTACTTGAAGAAATCTCACCTGTAAAGTAGTAGAACCTCAGAGTTACAAACACCAGATTACGAACTGACCAGTAAACCACACACCTGATTTGGAACCCTGAGTACACAATCAGGCAGCAGACAGAGACCCTCCCTCCCCCCCAAGCAAATACAGTACAGTACTGTATTACATGTAAACTACTAAAATAAAAAGGAAAGTTACAAAAAAGATTTCACAAGGTAAGGAAACCGTTTCTGTGCTTGTTTCATTTAAATTAAGATGGTTAAAAGCACCGTTTTTCTTCTGCATAGTAAAGTTTCAAAGCTGTATTAAGTCAATGTTCAGTTGTAAACTTTTGAAAGAACGTGTTGTTCAGAGTTATGAACAACCTCCATTCCCGAGTTGTTCGTGACTCTGAGGTTCTACTATACTGATGTTATGTCACATAACCTATCAGCATTAAACAAGTCAATTACACTCTTCAGGAAATGGTTTCCTGAACTGACAATTCAAAATGACACATAGTTTTGGATGATAGTCATGGAGTCTACCTAGCTTCATGTGTTCAAAGGTGCTTATGGTTTTGGGAGCTAAATTTAGCCATCTGCTTGTAAAATGCACTTTTTTGGTGCACATCTTGTTTGTAAGTTGTCACAGGGTTGGGTTGGTTCATGAATAAGTATTACAGAAGGAGTTTAAAAGGTTTCTGCAATTAATTCTGATAATCTTTTCCTACTGAAGCTAGCTGGGCAACTGAAACTTGCTTTTGGGGTAAAAATTTCAGAAGTGCCTGTGGGCCAGATTTCTAAATGTAATTAGGCACAAAATGGGATTTTCAAAAGCACGTAGGCAACTATGGGAGTTAGCACCTAGGCCTTTTTGAAAATACTACTATCTGCATCTTTAAGCACCTAAATACCTTTTAAAAGTGGCCTATGTGATTTAGGAGCCTATGTCCCATTTTCAAAAGTTTCTTAGGCATGTAGGCTCCTAAATCACGTGGGTGCTTTTGAAAATATTGCCCTTGGCCCAGTCCATGGGAGTCTTTTACAGAGCTCCCAAAGAGGGTGAACATTTATTAGCATTCGTTTCTCTACTTGCCCACTCCAAATCAGCTATTTATCAAGCTTTCTTTTTACTTGGGAAGATATTCTACAAGCTCTCACACTGTACAGACACTGTGTGTTGATTCCCAATGGATGCTGACAGGGCCGGCTCCAGGCAGCAGCTTAACAAGCAGGTGCTTGGGGCAGCCAAGGGAGAGGGGCGGCACCTGCGGCAATTAGGGGGCGGCAGGTCCCTCACTCCCTCTAGGAGCAAAGGACCTGCCGCTGAACTGCCGCCGCCGCTAATCGCGGCCTTTTTTTTTTTTTTTGCTTGGGGCAGCAGAAATGCTGGAGCTGGCCCTGGCTGCTGACAAGTGTTGCAGCTAATATTGTGTGAATCTGTACACACAAATGCCCATTTCCATGTGCAGAGACTTTACAATTATTTTAAAGAAACGCCTATTACTTTTTATTCAATGACTGTGCTTGGAGTTTGTTCCTTCATTCACTTTTCAATCTTCTCCTGTTCCATCTTTGTCTCTAGAACCAACATTTTTCCTACGGCCACAGTGACAGTTTTGCCTTTAAGCCTTCAATTAATATCCTCTCATTAGTGATGTATTTCATTCATTTAGACATGCATGTACAGTTTTGCATTTGCCACTGCAGGTTTATAATGAAAATGGTGATTATATCTGAACTCCTCCTGTTTGCTTGCAAAATGTGAAACACGGAAGAACACACACATGTCTGTACAAAGCTCCAGTCTTGCAAACACATGTGAGCAAAGGGTCTCAGGCCCAACCCCAAGCTAGGCCATTCTACGATGACTGTTGTACATGAAGTTAGTTATCTGTACTCTTCCTCTTTTTGTAGTTGTGCATCTCCTTTAGAAAGTAGGGAAAATGTCAGCCTCCACGTAGCTCTTGCCATGTTCAGAATAATGAATTCAGGATTTAGCAGTTGTAAATGTATGCTTCAAAAATCAACAAATATGCTGTATAAAATTAGTCTGTCCCCCTATTAAAAAGGAACACCTCCCCTCCCCTCACAAATCACCACACATTTTTTTTCCTATCAGCTGCCCATTTCTCTCACAAAGCTGCCATCTTCTGCTTTCTTACATATTCATAGGTTTCAGGGATTTCTGTTTCTGCTGCCTTCTCAGATTACAAATTTCTTGTGTGTTAATTAAGCTGGAAAAAAATTGAAAGAATTTCACTGATTCGCTTGAAAAGCTAAAAATAGATTGTTCTGTCCTGAATATGGACTGCTAAGTTTTCAAACTATTTGTACAATGCGAATTAATTGCAGATGGCCAATTCATCTATTTAGATCTATGTGACAGAAATGAATGTACTACTGCAACTGATTGTAAGTGTGAAGCCCTTTCAGGTAGCTGGGTCACGTCGAATAAGATGGTGGCATGTTTTTAACTTTCTGAAAATGCAACTTGGCAAATGGTCTGTTGATTTGAAGCTCTCCCCCAATAAAACAAAACCGAACCCGAACAGCTGAGATTTTAGATATGAAGCTGATGTGCACATGCAGAAAGCTACGAGCGATCTTTCATGTATGTTTCTAGCATCCATAGTATATGTATGAAAGCAGTTGCACTCATCTAGCTAAAAATAAGCTTTTCCCTAAGGTACCTAAATGTCTCTATTCACCTCATTAATAAATTATTTATTTAACCTTTTTGAAATTATCAGATTTTTTTTGTCTTTTCTATGCCTAAATATTTCCATTAAATAATTCTATAACTTTTCTGGGTTTTCTCCCGAAAAGGAAATTAAACAACAAGCTACATTATAGCTATTATGGAGAAAACTTCAAGAAAATCTAAAAGGTGGCTGACAGTCAATCCTGGCTATTACTGCTGTATCGCTAGTTGGATTTTCCAAAATATTGTGAATTAGGCAAGAATCCATATATTTTAAACTATGAAATAAAAATAAATAAATAAATTTTATAAATAAAAACATCACTAACATAAGATATGTTGTTCGGGAATCAAAATGATCAGTTCTGGTACAGATCCTGCCTAACAAGAGTCCTGCTTTATGCTGAAAATTAAAAATGTTGTTTGGGATTCCTCTAAATACTGCGAAGCAAGAGAAACTAAATATCACAGAGTCACTTCCTACTCCAATGTCTCTCCTTTGCAACGTCACTACTTCACATTCCCCAAATGCTCTTCGTAGCCTTACTTTCTTGAAAAATGTTGTGCAAAGGTTAATACAATACACAAAGGACCTTTGCCAACAAGGTGGTAAGAAAACCTCCCAAGAAGCTTCAGATGGCATTTTATTAGCATGCCGATAACATCACAGAACTAATGTTTTTGAAGAGAACATAATGTATTTGGAACATTTTCCAAAGCTGCTGTCTGCGTTTTGAAGCATTTATTACAAATTGAACTTTTAAAATCAAGACTTTGGATATCTTTTAAAAGTTACACTATAGCTCAAACACGGGGCTTGATGCAGAAATTACCGAGTTTCTGTTATGTTGTGTTATGCAGGAGATCAAGCTAGATGATCATAATGGACGGTCCCTTCTGCCCTTAAAATTTATTGATCTTTTTCCCTTATTGCGTCTCCCTATGAAATGCTTCTGATGAAGCGGGTGGATATTACGTAGCCATGCTAGTTGCGAGAGGGGGACTGACACCCCTCTTTTCCTTTCCACAATGCCCATATTTTAAGTTATGTTGCTATTTGGGGCCCCGTTCAAATTCCCATGTGAAAAAGTTGGTCTCTAAGTAATACAGTACAAATTATATATTGTACTGCAGCCGCTTTTCAAGTTAAAAAAAGGAGTTAAGGAAGGCTATTTAAACAAGGAATACATTCTTTGTGCGGGGCTGAAAAAATTGTAGGGTGCTGCCCCTTAAAAAGTGAACTCTGTCCTGTACTTTTCCAGTGGTTAGCCTTTATTACCTTGAAATTCAGGAAGTCACCCTCATTGGAGAGGCAGAATAACAGCTGTATCCATAAAGAGAGAGAAGAGTGGACTAGTTCCCACCAGTTCTGAACAGGTCCAAGTATTAAGCCCAAATCTTTCTGCAGGCTCAATTTCTCTTTGCAGCGTTGGCAAGTCTCAGTGTTTTGTGTTTCTCTTAATGCCCCAGCTTCTGGAATCATGTGATTAAGTGAGAATCCCAGCTTTCATTAAAACAAATAACAAAAGTAAATTTCTAGCCCTACTGGTTGCAGTGAGAAGCTTGCAATTGTGTGTCCTAAAGGTACAAAACCCAGGATGCAAATAAACAGAGCCAAATAACATTATTATTATTATTTTTTTTTAATCAGGATTTTCTTGGACCTGACATTTTTCAGCACCTGGCGTTGGCAACACTGCACTTTGTCTAGGCATTGGCTTCTCCCCTCACTCACAATCTAAGGCCTGTTCTTCAACCAACAAGTTCTTCTCCTTTACAGGGGCACAGGATTCAGCCTCAGTGAAAGAGCCAAATGCGACGCTGTTTGCCTGGGCAGCGGCTGCTCAGAAACTCCTATGTGGCTGTTATTCCAGTCGCTGAATTGAAATGATGACTGGGACCCCTGTGTCACACCCCCCCCTCCCCCCAGGTGGTTTATGGCTCCAGTCCATGCTGACAGCTCTACCTGCTACCCCTATATTCCCCCACTTCTGCTAGACTATGCAGAGTTGGGTGTAACCACAGCTGGCAAAAAAGCTAAAAAACTTCCCACAGCATTTTTGATTAGGGTATTGGTTTGTTTGTTTTTCAAGTTTGAAAATTTCAATTTAAAAAACTTTGACTTAAAAAAAAAAAATTTAAATGTGTGTTGACCATCTCTGTGTGTATAACCGATCTCTGTGGCAGGCAGGGCTTGCTGGGGCTTCCTGCTTCCCCACTCTGCAGCGTCTATGTACAGTGGGACCACCACAGGGTATGGGCCCAACTCCCCTGGGTGAATCCCCGCCAATATGGATGGTGCTTTTTAAAACAGAGGATGCTAGGGCTGCTATGTGGATACGATAGTAAAATTGTTTATGCTCCACGGCTGCTCCATGGCCTGAGGTACCCAGTGTGTCCTGAGGCCCTTGAGACATGGGGGAACCCAGATAATGGGTTGTATGTACAGGGAAGAGAGAGCTGGAGCCAAACTGGCCACAGGGAAAGATTTGGATGGATTAAAAAAAAAAAAAAAAAAAAAAACAACACCAGAGG